CAAACAGAAATAAGGCTGCGGAACTTAATGATGAGAACCATTAGCTGTATGGCCTCTTTAAGCCTCAGTTTCCCTATCCGTCAATAAGGAGGTTCCTTGCTGGCTGGTAGGCATGCAATACAGACTTAACTCTGAATATTATTGTGGTTGCTGTTAGTTTATCCGGGGAAGCATGCCAGAATCCTGAAAGCAAGATTTCCACCTCTAACAGCAATTTTCAAACTGGGGTATGGGGAGCTGGCAAATGCAGAGTCCACGCACACTCGCGATTGGCTCAGTGTCTGGGGTCAGGTTTAGGGATCTGCACCTTAAATAAGAGCCCAGGTAATTCCCACTGTGGAAACACTGAATCTAGCTCAAGGCCAAAGACCCCCAGGGAAGCATGTCCGCCTGGAGGAATGTAAATCTGTGCAGAAACAGGGCTGGGACTTGGGACAACTGCTCATTTATGACTACAGGTGGACTTTGTCAGCAGTCACAGCTGGGAAAAACTGGCACGTGACAGACACCTTTTGGAGTCTTCAGTTAGAAATAGTGAATAAAAGACAAGTTACCTTTGTGCTTTCCTCCTGGAGGGACAGAGTCTGGGCAATTGACTTAGGTCAGAATTTGATCCCAACACATATGGATTGCATGGCCCTCGACTGACCATTGAGCAGTTGTGAAATGGGAACAAAAACAGCAGAATCAGGGCCAGTCAGTCACACAAGGTTATGGTGATTACAGAAAGTTATCAGGAGTAAAGACACTGAGCAAAGATTCCATCAGTACGCTTAGGAACCCACTTCTTAAGGCTCCATATTAGAGGTTTGGGGTCCCTTTGCTTTTTCAGTCACAGGAAAGCAGGCCTACAATAAAGGAAAAATAACTCCGTAAGCCCATCCCACCTGAGACCACACACACCCTGATGACATACCCCTAGGAAAATATAAGCGGCAGATCCAGCCTGTTGTATGTACCTCCAGACCCAACTGTTTAAGGAACCCTCTAAATCAGTGTCTCAATCTTAACTTTTTATTTTACTAATCACAACATGGGCTCCAGACTTCTCCTCTCTGCCCGATTCTAAATGAGAAAGGGAAAGCAAGGCTACAGGGCACAGGGGGAGCTGTACTTAAAGTCCAGGTGGCCAATCTCCTCTTAGCCTGGTCACCACCTATAGTGGTAATTTAGCCCATGTCACTAACTCAGACACTAGAAATAATCCCAGGCACATAGTATCTCCACTGCAAAATCGTTTGTTTGGGGAATTTGTGGTGAACTCCAAGTCTTTCTTTCTCAAAAACAATATTAATTTACGCTTGATTCCAGCTCTGTGGAAAATGCAGACAGTCATATTGTCCCGTCCTAGACTGTGAGCTCCCCAAGGGAAGGGACCACTGCTCTGTCGGCCCCTGGCCCCAATTTAGGCACAAAGAAAGTATGGCCCGAAGGACCCAGTGACTGGCTGTCCCACTCAGCATTGTGTGGGGACTCTCCTTGTCTGAACACACAGCCCCACCTTCCTTTTATCTGAAGCATGGGGAGAAATGTCCCACCCTCTGACCTACACTCTGTCCCCCTTTCCAGCCTCCTACCCAGCTTCCTCCCACAAACCCCCAGCCCCTCCATTGTGTCAAAGCAGAGGCGGAGAAATGTTGAAGCCAGGGGTCACCTTTTGCAAAGAAAGGGAAAGTGAGAAGGTCCAAATAGCCCAGAGATGGGAGTCTGCTTTAGGGAAGGAGCCCTGGCTGGGAGGGAGAGCAGGTACAGCATTAGGGCCAGGCCTGAGAAACTATGTCCTGAAGGACTGGCAGCTCGTTGTCCACCCTTTCCCCTGGGAAGCCCTTGGCTGCTTCCCAGGGAAAGGAACAGTGTGTAGAAGGGACAGCCCCCGCAGACAAGTGGCCCATCCACTTTGGGGTGGGGAGTTCAGGCTGCCAGTTTCTTAAAGGTGGGGGTCTGGACCTTACTCTCCTTAGAGGCTCCAAACCCTTAGCGGGGTCTGACCCTACAGGGTAGGGATTTAATATCCATCAAATTGCATTAAATTGAACTAGACTGAAGTTGAGGGGGATATGACATGGTATGAGTGTCCTGGAGATGTTGTAACAAATAACCACAAACTTGGTGACTTAACACAGCAGAAATTTATCCTCTCACAGTTCTGGAGGCCAGAAGTCCAAAGTTAAGGTGTCAGCAGGGCTGTGCTCCCTTTGAAGGCTCCAGGGGAGGATCCTTCCTGCATCTTCCAGCTTCTGGTGGCTTCAGGCATCCCTGGCTCCAATCTCTGTCTCTGTCTTCACATGGCCTTTTACTCTGAGTCTCTGCTTGTTCTTTTCTGTCTCTTCTAAGGACACTCTCATTGGATTTAGGGCCTACCCTATCTACAATCTGATCTTAATTTTTACCTAAATTATATCTGCAAAAACCGTATTCCCAAATAAGGTCTGAGGTTCTGGGTGTACATGACCTTTTGGGAGACACTATTCAACTCCGTATAGACATTAAATAGCAAATAGCACAGCAAGAAGTGGCAAAAATGTGGTCGGGAGCGGGGGAACCTTGATCTACTAACTTCTGTGGCCCAGTTGTCCCAGCTAGCAAGGGTTCCCATTAACATCTCTGAGTTCCACTGCCAACTGAGAGATGGGGTTCTGGACTCCCTTTTACAGATGAGGACACTGAGGCTCGGAGTGGTTGAGTAAATGGCGAAGGTCCCCCAGTTAGCTAGACCTAGGACTGAAATCCAAGTTAGCTTGGCACAAGAACTTGGGGGGGGTCTCACAGCCAGGTTGGGCTGTATTTGAGCACCCCCAGGACTGATAAGATCCCAAGATCTTTCCACTCTGAGGAACTTCATTTGTCAATAGAAGGCAAAGTTGTTAACTGTCTTAATTTCCATGTTCCTTCACTTCTTCATATTGTAGACTTTGGAATGTGACTACTTCCCTGGAGTCACTTGAAAAAGTGAGGTCAAAGAAAATAAGCTTTAATTCAATTATCTGTAGAAATTAGTCTGGACTGGAGAAGTTAGGCAGGGAGACCCAACTGGACCCAGCCTTCTCCTGCTACTACATGGATTTGATACCCTTGGGCAGCTACCCTGGATTCCTGCTCCTCCTTCCTACACTGACCAAGAATACCATGGTGGCTCCAGGAAAATTTGTCCAAGGAGTGGAGAGGGGTGGGAAGCAAATTTTCTCCCCGCCCCAACTATTGCTCTGCAATGTTTGTTCAATGTTTGAAGTCTCAAAGATGGATGGAGAATGTCTTGTTAGGAATTTCTAGAACCTTGGAACAGGTCCTGAAGAAATGTATTTATTCAATAATTCTATATTGTGTACTGCCCAGGATCAAGTTGTAAGCTACCTAGGGCAGTGAGAGCACCACTTTGCTCAAGGCTGCCCCGAAGGGCTTATAACCTGGCACACATCTCCATAGAGTTGCTGAACAATGAACAAACCCGTCCTAGATCACAAGACATCAAAAGAAGGGCTCCGGGGGTAGCGCAAGGGAGGAATGAATTTCTTGCTTCTGGATCTTAGTTTCCTCATCTGCACATGGTGGGACCGTTGACTGAAGCTGCAGGCTTTAAAGGCGGTTGGGTGCCCCAGCTTCTCCTCCACCTTTTCCCCACCAGCCTATAACCTCGTGCCAACGGGGAGGAGTTGCTTCACCTGCTCCCTAACACCTCCTAGCCAGTGTCTTTGTATCCTCTTGGTTCCTGAGCTGGAACAGTAACCCGCTGAAAGGAGGCTTCTTTAATGGAGAAATCTTGTTCCTGTCATATCCTCAAGGCAGGCCAACCACCTCAGAAATGCGGGCACCGCCCTCTGTGAGCTCACAACCTATTCACAAGCCCCCGGGGCGATTATTATTACTCTCATTTTTCGGGAAGGCGCCCAAGGCTCAGCGAGGCCGAGTGACTTGCCCAAGGTCACACAGCTTAACAGAGAAAGCAGAGATGGAGACTCGGATCTCCGAAGCCCCGCTCCAGCGGCTTTTCGAAGACACCCTGTACTTCCCTACTATGACGCTCATTAATAAAACAGGAAGGTCGGACACCTGGCTTTTACCTAAAACAATGCTCCACGAAAATCTGTGGGAACAAAAGCAACTAGAAATCCGCCCCGGGTTTTCAGCCCCTCCGGCCTTGCGGGCCAATCGATTCCGCTGGCCGCGGAGGGGCGGTTCCAACGTGATCGACAGCCTTGGGGAGGCGTGGTCTCGGCGGGGGCGAATCGGGATTGGGGACCCGGAACAATCACGGGCAGAGAAGGGGAAGTCCGAGCCAATCAGCGGGGAAGGGAGGGTCCTGCTGGTCCGGCTGTCGCGAGAGGCGGCCACCCCGCCCACTTGAGCCTCGTCCCGGCGCCCGTCAGCAGCGCACGCAGCAGCGCTCGCGCGAATCCGTCCGCGGCACGGGGAGTCTGGGCGCGAGGCCGCGCGAGTGCCGGCGCAGATCCCTCCGCCGCCCGCTCGCGCGCCGCGCCCCGCGTGTCCCTCCACCACCACTCCTAAGGCGCCTGCCCGCGGCCTCCAGCCTAGTAACGGACAGCCAGCCCAAGCGCGGCGGCGGCGACGGCATGGCCCGGG